GTACCTTTCGACCTCCCCGACCATCGATTGAAACGCCCCAGGTCTGTAAAGACTTCGGACGTTCCACGTACCCACTTTGAAGTCTCTCCCGCGTTTTGACTTTATACGACATGAGTTCCCCGAGGTAGTCCCCACCCGGAGATCCGAACGGGGGACTAGTTTACCTATATATATATATGTATAAAATACAAAAATTAAAAAATGTATCAATGGTTTACGAACGTGTATAAAAAATAATTTTATTAAAAAACAGCATTTTTTATCTGTCCTCTAATAGAGATGTATGGAAAAATATATTATAAGATAATTGCAAAAATCGTAACTTTTTTGTATAAGTTCTTTAAATATTTAAGATGTATTATATAAAGTTTTATTGATGCAATAGAAGAAAAGTAATATTATATTTTTAGTTAAAATGCATTGTTACGTCCAGCGGACTCGCACGACTCTTTTCTTTCGTAAAGATCTGGAATTCGTCGACACACTAAAATTTTATCTTCTTTCCTCTTTATTTCCTACACTAAAAACTAAAACAAGGACTCCGTTATCTCCTCGTGAATGTCGCTCCGAAATAAACTAAATCAATAATAAATACATATGGAAAGCGTAAGACCGGCGCCAAGATTAACGGTCAAGTTGCGGACGATTCTCGCGAATCCGTAATTACAAAATCTATGAAATGACACACGACATTCAGGGATAGATTCTGGGTGGTCTCGTGGCGACAATGCATGCGCGCCTTCTTGACCTACGAGACGTGCGTTTTCCCATAATCTTAAGATCATAAAATTTTGGAAGACTTTCCCATACTACAGATTCCTGTCAACATCCTTTCCTCCCCCAAAATCTTGACCAATCCAAGAGCAAAGGAAAATCCTACTACCAGCTAACAAAACCTATTCCACCAGTCCGAATTTGAGTAATCTGGGGCGATTAGTATAAAAATCGCGGTTCCGCAGCCCTCGTCGCAGATTTTCCTCCAAGTTTTCTCAAGCTACACTTATTGCGCAGATTTTTCTCCAAGTTTTCTCAAGCTACACTTGTCGCGCGATTTTCCTCTAAGTTTAGAGAAGTTGTCGCGATATTCAAAAAGTTCCACCCGATTTTCAAAGCCCTTTTTCTCCAGTAGAGTCAGTGTTAAAGAAACATCACCAGCCTTGCACATCCTGGCCAGAGGACCTCCAACGATAAGCATCTCAGTAGTAAGTCAGTATATCTCTATTCTCTGGCTCCCTCCTCGCTTTATCTTTTGGTAATTTATTTCAATATTTCATTTTATCTTTTTTTATTATTCATTTGTTTTATTTTATTTTATTCTTTTCTTTCTTTCTTTCTCCCTTTTAACCTCCTATGTACAAGAAAATAAAAATATTGCAGTCCGTTCACGTTATAATTTCAATCTGTCGCCGTCGCCCCACGATAATTGTTCGCCCCCTGTCGACCGGTCGTTCGTGTCCGCTAACACTATCATCATCCGAGGAAAATTAAGCCAAACCCTCTCAAATCCACTCACTAAAACCTGCTTCTCTTTTTATCTCTCGCTATTCTCTCCGTAACTCCTCCCTTCCATTCTGCCACGATATTTTTCATACACACACGCACTTACACATGTATAAATCATAATTATCAAAATTGTATTATTCTTATTATATTTATTTTCTTTTATTTTTATTCAAAATGAATGATCAATATTGTCTTTTATTATATTATACTATTATTAAATTAACTCCCTAGCAGTCTTTTTTCTAATATAATCTCTCCTCGTATTCTTAAGTTTTTCCGCGATTGCACTTCGCCCTCTCCCCGGTCACTTGGATTAAGTTCCATGACCGAAAGTCAGGGCATACGGCCGTACTGGCGCAGCTGGCGTTAAAGTGAGCCCTCTCGGCGCACTGACCCAGTTTGGGCCCTTTAAAAGTACGTTCGACTCGTGTCCGTTTAGCGGAGCACGAACAGAGGTTTCCATTTCGTCCTCCGGTCGACCCCCGGTTCATTAGAAGCCTCAGGATGAAGCGCCTCTCGATTTGCGTCGATCCTTCCCCACGGCTCCCTTGCGGTCCAGAGTCTGGACACGATCAAATTGGTCTAATTCGGTTCCTTGTTACGTTCACCCCCTCCGCATGCGCGCGGAGCTTGGACGTAACAGCATATATCTTCTATTTTTTTTTTAATTGACATTTATATCACTCAATACAGCAACGTTTCAGCTTTAGATGCAGAAATTGCATGGTTATATTGTTCTGTAAATAAACAAAATATTTCGGATTGAAACTATTGACACTGTTTAAATTTTTGTGTATAAAAATTTATAATTACAAGCATACATATAATTAACCTTGGCTCATCAGCTCTTCTTTTAATTTATGTTATTGACAAAATATACTGTTTCCTTATTTTATTGAAAATAAAAATTCCTAATTCTTGCGTCGCAATGAAACTTATATTTGCATTTTTTTAAATACTTAAAGTACTTATACAAAAAAAGTTTAGATTAATTTTGTTATTATAAGCTTTTCAAATTTTAGTATTTAATAAGGAAATAATAACAAATAAAATTAATACTATAAAATTAAACTATAAAAATGTGTTTAATAAAAATAAAATGTTTGAAATACAATTCATATGTATATAGCTTATTTAAAATATAAATATTAATACATTTGTAAAAATATAATATAACCTTAATGTTAATTCTTTTAAGAAAATAAAATAAACATTACGCGCATGTAAGATTGCAGAGATGAATATTTCTGAAGCATAATTTGTGAATGGAGCACAATTGTATGAATCTAATATCGACTCTCACCCCTCCTCCCCCTGCTTCAGGAGTGCACGACTCTCACCTCCGACCTCACCCCTCCTTCCTGCTGCTTCAGGAGCGCACGACTCTAGGTCGGAGGTGAAAGTTATGCACTCCTAAAGCAGGGGCGAGGAGGGGTGAGAGTCGGTGGTGAGAGTCGTGCGCTCCTGAAGCAGGGGGGAGGAGGGGGGGGTGAAAGTTGCTATGCGTAGAAAGTCCTTACGTAAGCAAGGAAGGATATAAAAGCTTTTAATATTGTATAAAACAAAAATAAATCGTTATTTTTTTATACTTTTTTTGTTGAGAACTTTTTAACGAAGGATGAGCAAAGGCTAAAACCTGTTGGAGGTTACTCAGGGTCATGACCTTGATAACATATGTCAAGGTCAAGGTTATCGGAGCTGCTTCCGTTATTATTAATATTACTAAAAAGTGGACATATTACCTTCAGAAAAGTGGACGTATTACCGTCCGAGCGATGTAGTTTACATCCACTTTGTCAGGGGGTAGTAGTGCGCGGCAGCATTTTGCGGTTACAGGTTTTGGGCTGGCATGTCCTCTCTCAGGTTTCTCTCTGCTTCCACCAGTTTTACTTTTCACTATGGTGCGGTTTAGTGTAGGAACAGAAAAACAGACCAATAGACTGTATAGTCTATAGATTGGTATAGACAAGTGTGGTATGTTACGTATGTACATATATATAATGTGTACTAGATAAGTTAGATAAACTATTAAATTACAATTAATACGTGGAAGAAATGTATATTTTAAATTATGATTTCAATGGAGATTAGGAATACACTTGCGTTATCCGCATCAATTTGTACTGTTTTACAGTTTCTGGCTGGCGTGTAAGTAATTTAAATAACGTTGATAGTTTACTAAACATTGAGATTTACTTTTTTTTAAATTTATTACTATAATTTATATTTTTTGTTTAAAAATGCGTTTAATGCTTTGTATTATTTATCAATCTATGATTAAATATTTTATATTTCTATGTTTCGAATTATGAACTATTCATACATCTTCATATCTTTTATTTCATATAATTTTATTTACCGAATTAAATATTTTATTTAGTTTTTATTTAATATAATTGACATAGTTGCATATTTTGTTAGACTCTTAATCCATAATGATTTTCTGATTCTTTTCTGTATATGAGGGTGTTCATATCTCAGAACACAAACAATTCAAAATACAAGTGAGGAAAAAGATAATGTTTTATATCTTAAAGTTGCATTCCAAACTATGAAAGAAAAAAAAATTATTATTAGTAGTCCAAAAAGCATTAGGTTATTCAGAAACTTGAAAATGATGTTTTTTTAGTATATATGGGTATAAATCGAAATATCCTCCATATAAAACTTAACAGTGACAATACGATCACAAGGAAATTGTGACCTCACTTATGTAATTATTAAAAGGTTACAGTATAAAATTTATCAGTAACATCACATTATTACCTTAATACCCAGATAGCCAAATCTATAGAAAGTAGATTTTTTTAAATGTCTGCTGCACACTATGCCAACAAATATCAATAAAATTGTTATAGAATTAGATATACAAATATCAATAAAATTGTTACAGAATTAGATAATACTTTTGACATACTGCTAGAAGAAACATAACAGAATCTGTCAGCATCAGATAATGTCAGTAGGATCTGCTCAGTTTCTGCCAACAATTTGTCTTCACATTATGTCGACAGGCGATGTTAACAGAGCTTGTGTAAAACACAAGCCTAATGCAGACGCAGTTGATGGCAGACTGCTGTCATTTTCTGCTCGAACCTGCTGACAGTCTGTTAGAATACTGCAGACATTTTGCCATCTGGGTATATGTGTTATAATAGTCAAAATAAAGAAGACATCAATCCAATCTGATTATTGATTGTTTACTAAATAACTCTGCCGCTTATCATTGTTGACTCTCATTAGGTTACTATATTTATTCTTTTATATTATTTAAAATTCGAGAGTTCTAATATAATTATTGTTATTATAATAGTATTATAGAAAGATATAATTTTTATCAAAACTTTATCATCACATCATAGCGATGTCACATCTGTGACAAAGCAGATATTTGCATGTCACCATGCTTTTGTGATATTTTTTGCTGTGGGAGATAACTTAAATATATGTATATTGCCTTTACATTTTAAAATAATGTATTATTGGTATCATGTCACAAAAACTTACTAATTAAAAGAAATTTTTTTGGACACTACTTAACATATAATGATATTTATAACATTTAAATAACGCTAGTTTAACATTTCAGCACAAATTTTTTTTAATAGCTAATGAAATCTTTGCATATAAACGAAAATTAGTTAAAAATAAAAAAATAAAAATTTCTCAACTATAGAAAAAGCATTTATTTTACAGATGATTGGGTCATTTGTGACCAACGTGAACTTCTGAAGCACTCTCATTAAAGAATGTGCATGAAATGATGTCGACAATGCTTTATCTCCTAATATCAAACTTTTTTAAGGGAAAATATAGAGACCATTAAATTTTTAGCGAGCTGCTCTTAAAGAAACACAAGACACAAATAACCCAATTATATTAATAATACTTTTAGATCTTGCAAGATATTTCATTACCATACAATATAATTAAACTGTTCGATTTGAATATCAGACAAATAAAATAAAATGAATAAATTTTACAGATTAGTGTGTAAAAAATATATTAGAAATGGTTCAACTGGAGATAGCTCGGGATTGGCATTTGTGACATGTTTTATGTCGTATGTATCATATAATTAAGCAATATTTACCAATATTAGTATAAATGGTTGATTTAGAATTATATTTTTATCATTACAGTTGTAGTTTGTGGCTAAGATATGGAATACTTACTGGAGATTTGTTTATTATATTTGTAAATATATTTGGGACAATATTACAAATATGTTATATATTAATTTATATCTTATATAACGTAAAAAGATCAACTACTATTAAGCAGTTTACATTAGCGATTTGTTTGATTTCGCTTGTATATCTGTACAGTATTTTCCAAAAAAACAGAATTTTGGCTGAGAAACACATAGGATTTCTTAGTTGCAGCTTGACCATATTATTCTTTGCGTCACCATTAATAACACTTGTAAGTATAAAATAACATTTTTTTATTTGTATTCACAAAATAATAAATCTCATCTAGTAAAATTATTGATAGAAAATATGTATATTTTTTTAAATATTATATTAAGGAGGAAGGTTAATAAAGTCGTTTTTGTGAACTCTATAAAGCTAGCAGGATCAAACCAGCAGAATCAAGTCGAACCTACCGGAATTTTTAATTATTTTGTACTAAATTGTACTATTAATGAAAATTTTGTACTGTGTGCCATTTCGAAAAAAAATGGCCTTGCTGGCTTAATATTAAGCTGGCAGGATCAATTCAAAATAAAAGAAAAATAATATTATAAATCAATAGGATTGAATTTGTACTAATTTGTACTGTCAAATTGTTCTGTACAATTCTATATTATGTCTTTCCTAAGGAAACAGTGGCGCTGCTAGCTTATGTAATATTTAAAGTGCTACAGGACCATAAAAAAATAATACAAGAACAAAAATGAACAAGACTGAATTTATATTAATTTATACCATTGAAAGTAAGTTAATATTTTATATTCTTTTTTCTGCTTAAAATGACTTTATTAGTATATACTTTTAATCTACAAGCTAGTGACCTCAATAACAAAACCTATGTGCTTGACACTCAACTTTAAGAAACAAAATTTTTTTCGATGAGCATTAAATTGAGCTAAATTTGTAATATTTTCTTTTCGTTTATACCTTAAGGAGTTCAAAAATATAAAGAAAAAAAATCCTAGCATCCTACTTTAAAATATTTTAAACCTGCAAGGTGCTGTTTCGGAATCGTTTGTACTCATTCCAATCCGAAATAGCACTGAAATTTCAAACTTATTGCGGATTAAAAATATCTTCAGAAATAACGAAATTAGCTTTACCTCTATTTTGAAATTTCAGTATAATTACTAATTATTAATTACCTCCTTAAAGATATAAACGAAATGAAAAAACGGTATAAACAGATACAAGTGATGCTGAATTGGTGATGCTTTCTTGGAAACAGTAATGTCTCAAAAAAAAGGCGATAATATGTTTTCAAAATTTGATTTTGAACACTGATCTAAAAACGAAAGAAAGATGAGACAAATAAATACAAAAACAAAGACAAACCAAACTAATTTATTGCATGTTAAAAATTTTTTTAAGTTGAATTAATTCACATCGGTTCTATTGTTGAAATTACTAACATATAAATTGTCAGTATATACTAATAAAATCGTTTTAAGGAAAAAAATATTAACTTACTTTCAATACAAATTAGTACAAATTCAGTCTTGTTCCTTTTTGCTCTTGTATTGTTTTCTTTTATGGTCCTGTACAGGTATTTTTATGTCTCCTACAGACTTACATCATACATTTTTTTTTATTGTATGATCATTAGGAATGTTAAAAATTATTATATGAGAAAAAATTGATCCATAAAGCTCTAATTATTAATTATATATATCACTATTCATAGTCAGATCTTATATTCAAGACCTTTCTTAAGTGCAGTATTGAGAAGTCACTAAACAATCAGAGGGCCGTATTAGCGTCTTAAGACATTACTTAGGCAGTCTTGAAATAAGAACGGATTACGATATCGCCCTGTGATACCTAAACCCTTTTCATGACTAATAAGTGAATTAATAAAATATTTTTATTTATTATCCTGCTCTGCTATCATATTAACGCCATTTTAGATTATCATCCCCTAAAATGAATACAGCTCATTGTGAAAAAATAAATTTTTTTATTACACTTGACATACGGAGGGTACTCTTATGCAATGATGTGATTTTCAGTTGCAAAAAAATTTAAAAACACAAAAACCAAAAACAAAAAAATAAAATAAAATGTACAATAAATCAAAAATATTTTATTAATTCATTTATTATGAAAAGGACTTGCATATCATAGTACTATATCTAGATTAATAATTAATTAAAGCTTTATGGATCGAATTTTTGTCTCATATAATGAATATTTTTCACATTCCTAGTAATCGTACAATACAAAAAAATTGTCTAATAAAAATCCATAGAAGCACAAAAACGGTCTTATTCTCCTTTTTTACAATGTAACTGTATGTATTGATAATAAATAATTACAAATTTGTTATAGGCACATGTGATTAGAATGAAAAGCACAGACAGTTTACCATTTCCAGTCATAATGTCCTCTATGGTAGTCTCTTGCCAATGGTTTGCGTATGGATGTCTGCTCAGTGATCAATTTATACAAATACCAAATTTTATGGGTTGTATTTTATCAGCTTTTCAACTTTCTTTGTTTTTGATTTACCCAAGTAAACGAACAGATCAAGCTTACTTCATATGAAAACATTAATTATATCTTTTCTTCTGTAATTAGATTGATTAGGGTTGTATAAGAAATACTGCATATATTATAAGTAAATCAATAATTTTTTAGAAGTATACGTTTATTTTATCTTAAGTTTTATCTTAATATAGGATATTCAGCAACAGGTGAGAGAAAATTTAAAGAGTAGTTTTAAAATAAAATAGAAATTAAGAATAAGAATGAAAAAATTACGAATAAAGTTTAAATTATAGATTTTTAAAATTTACATAAAAAGTAAATTACTAAAAGTACATGAATATTTAGACATTTATAATTAAACGAAGCATCTATCATCGCAATTTTATTTTTCTTGTTTTTATCTTAAATCACCGTTTTCTATTGAATAACTGTATATATTTCATCTAGAATCACTTTTTAAATTTTTTCTTATCTGTTTGTTGTCAAATTTTCTGTAAAGAATGCAAAACCACGAGAAAAGATCATTTAATCAAATTTTCTGGAACTCCGGGAAATATTTATTAATGTGATGCTGAACAAAAGTATTCATAAGCATGACGTTCAATAATAATTACTACAACTATTTTCGTTTTTCACTAGCCCATTCAATTAAAGCTGTTATACACTAACCTAATTTGAATGCAAAAGTGAGATCTCAATTAATAAAATACGCAATGTATATTTTATTAAATACAATAAAATGTATTGAGGATTTTGTGGTTTAATTCGTTTCTATTTTTATTAAACGTACATCTTTACGCTGATTTTTACAATGACTTTAAAGTATACTGAGTGCGCACCAACTCTGCCCGTGATGTAAGTCGTAAGAAAACAAGAACAGCTTTCGAATAAAGCGGGAAGCACAGAAAGATCGAATGTGTTTATCTTGTGTGAATATTAACAATATATAACTTACTTACTATCTTTAAATAATTCAGTATTATTTCGATCTGTGTGTAGATATATAATATTCATTTAGCTCTAAGACAACAACTACACTCAAAAAGATTATATTATATTATTAGAAGTATAAATAAGTTTCCGCCGTTTTTTATCAAAAATTGGGCATTTATTGTGAAAGAACGGTACCTAATGTTTTATTCGAAGTATTGTCCATCGCTAGCCATTACTTTTTCCCATCTTTCTGGCAGCATACGGATACTGCGTCGGAAAAACGCTTCATCTTTTGAAGCTATCCACGAATCGACCCAATTTTTGGTATCTTCATATGATGTGAAGTGTTGCTCAGACAGGCCATGCACCATCGATCCAAACAGGTAGTAATCAGAAGAAGCAATGTCTGGTGAATACGGCGGGTGGGGTAGAACTTCCCAATTGAGTGTTTCCAAGTAGGTTTTGACCGGCGCCGCAACATGTGGACGAGCATTATCATGCAGAAGAATAACTTTGTCGTGTCTGGAGTAGTAGGCGCGTTTTTCCTGAGTGCTCGGCTGAATCTCATCAATTGTGTTCAGCAGAGAGCCCCAGTAATGGTTTCGTTCGGTTTGAGCAACTCATAATAAACGACACCTAACTGATCCCACTAAATACACAACATGAGCTTTTTCCCATGAATGGTCGGCTTGGCTGTCGATGTTGAAGCATGGCCAGGTGGTCCCCATGATTTCTTCTTCTTTGGGTTATCGTAGTGGATCCATTTTTCATCACCAGTATAGACTACACGGTGCAAAAAACCCTTTCGTTTATGCCTGGCAAGCAGCATTTCACATGTGAAAAATCGGCGTTCAACGTTTCTCGGCTTCAGTTCATATGGAACCCAATTTCTTTGCTTTTGAATCATTCCCAACGATTTTAAGCGATGTGAAATTGCTGGTTGAGTCACTCCTAATGTAAGTGCAAGTGCTTCTTGTATTTGGCACGAATCTTCATCCAATAATGCTTCCAATTCCGCGTCTTCGTACACTTTCGGCCTTCCGCTACGTTCTTTGTCTTCGACGTCAAATTCACCGTTCTTAAACTTTTGAAACCACTTACGACAACTTCTCTCACTTAAGGCAGTCTTACCATATGCTTCTACAAGCAATCGATGCGTCTCAGCTGCAGATTTCTTCAAATTAAAGAAGTAAATCAAAAGCTCCCACAAATGATGCTTATTCGGCTCAAAACTCGACATTTTCGCACGAAAAAAGATATAAGATGCTGATGCAAAATCGCTAATATTTCAAGGTTATGTTCTTGCCAGATGTCCAACCTTACGATGTGACGTTTTATAGCTGACAATTTTAACTATAACATACTGGAAGCGCCATTGTTTGTCAAACAGCGGAAACTTATTTATACTCCCAATATAACTGTTTCTATCGTCGTAAAATAGTAACTGCCGTCAAAATATCAATGTTTTCACTCACATGCAAAAAAAACTTGGCCACTAAGTTTTTTCACAAATTTTTAATATATTTAAATAGTAACAATTCATTGAAAAATCATCGTAGCGTGATGTTTAAAAAAAGTCTTTTAAAGCTTGAAATCTCTATTGTCAAAATCGATAATTGATATTTCAGTCTGACTGATCTTTTATGGAGCTATACGGACACAAATGGATATCCGTCAAATGTGAAAATTTTGATCAAATTTTATAAAGGTCTATGGCGTGAAGTAAAATTCACACAAAAATATGGTTTACAGCAATCGAAAATGAATTTTTATCTTTAATTTGCTTTTTTATTGAGCGTTGTACGATTTTTTCTCACCGAGTTATTCAACATTGAATAAAAAGGATCATTTTTACTTCAACGTTGATTATCTCTGTGAAAATAAATACAGTAAATCGTACAGTGATCTATAAAAAAAGCAATTAAAGATAAAGATTCACTCTTTCGAAAACTGTAAACCCCATTTGTGCGCAATTTTTAATTGGCACCATAGAACTTCGCAAATTTTATAAAAAATTTTCAGAATTTATGCATCTTCATTTATGTTTGTGTAACTTTACATAATATCAGACCGTTTTTTAAAGTACCGGTTTGAAACGGTAGAGATTTCAATCTTTAAAAGACTTTTTTAATCATTTCGCTACGATGATTTTTCACTGAGTTATTACTATTTGAAGATATTAAAAGTTTGTGAAAAACTTAGTGGTCAGGTTTTTTTTGGATGGAGGAGCGTGCGTGCGTGCGTACGCGCGGGCTTTTTTTGGGCGGGCGGGCGTGCGTGCGTGTACTTATTAATGTATTTACATTAGACGTGATCGATCAAGAAAAATCGTAAATTAGACTGAAACATTTTGTGTAGGTAAAATCTCTATACTTTTATGTAAAATTATCAAATTTTTTTAAAACATTTTTTATCAAGCTTCAGACTGTTGAATGTATGTAATTTTAAGTATTATATATATTGTAATAATGTGATATTTATTAAGATACGCGGAACCATAAAAAGAAATTTTTTTGAAAAACAACCTAAAGTATGTTACAGTACAAGTTTCAAGCTTTTAAACGTTTTTTTATTTTTATTTGGGATGACTTTTCACCGAGTTTTGATGATCTGATATTTGTGCAATTCTGAACGCTTTGAAAGTGTTCTCTGTTCAATATTTTACTTGTGTAACATCGAAACTATTAAACAATTCTTAAGAATGTCTGCAATAATATATTCAACACTACAAATATAACCACATTGTTATCAAATATATTTTAATATGGAAATATGTTTCAGCAAAATAATACATTACAATCTGATAGACCCGATATCGAATGTTCTCTTTCCGTTTATTAAATAACTATACCTGAAATAACTGTATGTTATCTGAAAATGTGATCAATGATACGTAATCCAAAACGAAATAAACTATATGTTCGCAGCCATATAATGAAATGTCAAATTAATTATATATATAGAAATATATATGATTTAATTTCTCTTTGAAACAAGAAAATAGTTTTTGGTACATTTTATCTATTCTATCGATTGCAAAATATTAACTTTGTTGTCTGTGGCTGAACCAACTTTTTTGGAACCTAAAATGAGAGGGTACATTTGATATTTGGCGAAAGCAAAAATCAAAGAAAGTTTTACTGCAGTGTAATACAAGAATAAAAAAAGAATTTGTTATTGTATTTAAATATAACTTGCATTCATTCTTTATTTTCTTGTTTCACAATTTCGGATAGCAATAGCGGAGCATTAAATGTTAGAATGGATAACTTTGCATTAAAATAATTGAGAGAGAGACATAGACAGAGAGAGAGAAAGAGTCGATTTAATGTAATTAATGTTAAACAAAGCAATATTTCATGCTGAAATGATTTGACATAAACACACCATTTAAGAATAATTCGATATAAACACATCATTTAAGAATAATTCTTTGATACCAATAAAAAATGTCAACTGTTAAGAAAACTTGCATTTTTTTCCTAAAACCAGAACTACAAGTATCTAGAGGATTCTTTTCAAATATGGATACACAAGTTTGTTTTAGTTTTACAAATGCTTTTAAACTCTTTTTCGTGCAATTTGATCAAATTTGAATAAAAGATTGTGATTATATTTTATACTTTTCCTAAAATGCTTAGAATATTCCTTATACGATGTCATGATCGAAAAATATTCCTTACTCTAAAATGCAATCAAAACTGCGCATATTTATTAGAGAATACAACATAAATGTTTTACATTTATTTATTTAAAAACGTTGGTACATAAAGTTTATTATAGTTTTTTAATTGATTTTTTGTAACTAATACATCAACTTTTCATTTATTTGGATACAGTATCTTATTAATTAAATTTCGAAATTAGTTATTATAATAGAATGTACAAGAGGATAGAAAATAGTGTACAATACGGAATGGCAATCTTATTAGGAATCAATCATATTGCTATTATCTCAAATTATTTAAATTGACTTCACTGTAGTCATATCGAATATGCATATAATCACGAGACATACGAAAAATAAATGAATTTTTATACATTTATAATTACAGTGACAGAATCTTAACAATTTTAGAGAAGTCAGGTTGTTAAAATAATTACCAATTTATTCTAATTATATTGTACAATTTAGCGCTTATTGTCACGGCATTTTACGT